AAAAAAAACAACAAATAACATGTAGGAATCACCCAATGTAATATCCAAAAGGTCGCGACTTATCAATCCAAATTAAATAAGATATCGATTTTTCGAGGCTCACATTTCTAAATCTCCTCTTGCATGCTATCGAATAAAATCACCGTTAATACATATAAAAAAATACAATTGTCAGCAAAATCAAGATAGAGTTCGATCTGCCGTTCGACGTCATGTCTTCCTACCAAAAGATCCCGAACGCCATGCGAAAGCTTCTTTGCTTCATTCAACCAGGTATCTAGGGTGGGCAGGAAAGGCACGAACTCCGAAAAGCTCATGAATTCCACCTAAACCAAGCGCCAAAAAAACAGGCATCCCCGACGGGTAAAGCCGGCCGCTTTAGCGTCCGCCTTTGCTAAAAATTCACCCCCCCCAAAAACAACAAATAACATGTAAAAATCACCCAATGTAACATCCAAAAGGTCGCAATTTATCAATTCAAAATAAATAGGATATCGATTTTTCGAGGCTCACATTTAGAAATCTCCTCTTGCATGCTATCGAATAAAATCACCGTTAATATATATAAAAAAATACAATTTCCACCAACCAAAACCAAAATAGATTTATCCGGATCTTATACAAAACCTCGTGTTCGTCCTCGTGTAACACATATAAAACCCCCTACATAAAAATAATAGCCAACGAAATCCACCACCAAACGACCAAATCGCGCAACGTATGCGAGCGACAAATCGCCGAGGCGACCGGGCCGTAAAATTTTTAAATTTTCGAGCCCACCCGTCTCAATAGTAAGAAAAATCAAAACTCAAATTACTTAATATACAAATATAAAAAAATATAAAACAACAATCGAAACAATATAAATTAAATAAATTTTTATAATTTTCGTCAATAACGATCGATATTACAAATTATTCAACAATAAACGCCAAAAAAAATACAAACATAAAAATCTTTTACCAAAAAATAACAATCTCCAAAACGCCATCACACCAAAAACAAAAATTAGATAAACAAAACCTAACGTACAAGCGCATTGCCCCTCAAACAACACCACTTCATTCATAAGAAGAAGACCAAAAACAAAAGACGAGAAAAAACACTATATCTCGAAATCAACGTCACGGACAAAGAAAATAGGCACCAATGGATTCCAAAAGGACATGGCCTCCAATAATGTCATCGTTGCAAATGCAAGATCCATTAATACATAACCATCCAGTAGTTAAAGCAAGCCAAAGACGAGATTTATAAACTTACTAAAAGACTACCGCTCACAAGTAGGGACGCGAGCCAGGAGTCGAAGAAAGACTTCATCCAAAGGATTATACATAAGACTCCAGACGAAAGGCATCTCCTACAGGTACAGGCAAACTACATTGTTTGCCAGAAATGTGCGATGAGGGCTTTGAAAAATGCCGCTCGGGAAAAGCTCCAACATTTGCACCAGAATCCATGCTGGTATAGCAAATGGGATCCAAAACCCACCTAGACAAGCAACCCGTCGCATCAGCTGTGGCGGAGGGGAAACAAGATCTACTACCAAACCTATCAAACCCATGCAATCCGCAAAGAAGGCAAGTAGAAAGCCAGCAGCAAACAGCTGCAAAAGCCATGCCCCTCACACACGGCACGCCAAACACAGCTGCCGCAATGCTTCAGGGCCAACACGGCCAAAGATGAAAGCTGAAAAGGGTCCGAGAAAAAACTCTATGTATATATATATATATACACATTGTATATGTATTCAATCAAAAACATCTTCAATAGCAGCATCCTTCAAGCAATACATAGAGGTATCATGTTCTATTTCAATTGTATAGGCGTAAATCGTCTTTGTTATTTGCATGGCCCGAGCCATGCTTGTCAATCACCCTGTGCAACGCCTCTTGGTCTAAGCTCGCTTTGGGGAGCATGTGACCATTGGCGACGCAATGAGTGATGCGCTGGAGCACGACCCTCAAATGATTCAATTCGACCTACATGTTTGGACACAATCGGTAGGCCAGGTAGGCATGAAGAATAGAAACTTATCTTTTTCTTATACAGTATACAAGTCTCCCTTAACAAATCATTTGAGTGAAGTCATTGAAGTCCCTGACAGGTGTCCTGTCAGTGGAAATCTTCAATCAATGGGAAGGGCTTGAAACAATGGGAAGGGCTTGAAAAAACCAGACTGGTGCATCCGCTTGGAATGTGACGTGCATGTGGCGCTGCTCAAAGTAGCCAAAGCTCAATGAACCTGGTCCCAGCACTTGCTCTTCAAACTGTAAACTCGAGGCAAGCACATCAAGTCTGCGGATGACAAGTCGACATGGCGGAACTCACATCACAAACACATGAATGAACGCATTCCGAAGTTCCACATAAAGATTCAGTTCACTTCGTGTTGCCAAATTGGCCAAGTATCATTGGACCCAGCTCAAACATTTGAGGCAACAGAAGGTGACTTGAAGTTCTGAGAGATAAACATGACTATAATAGCTTGTATTGGAAGGAATTCTCCGGCAGGTGATGTGCTGCAACCTAGCAACCACCAAGCCTAAACCTAATACTTGTCTGTCGTTTCTCAAATACAGTAAGACTGCGCATCATAATGATGCGGCATGATGTGGGTATCAGCAATGGCAAGAAAGACATGTGGCATGTAGCACATTCAAAAGATTCAATAAGAAGTCGCACATCACCTGCGAGATTTCCGACTTTGACACTCTGTTCCAGACATTTCTGGACTTGAAAGAAACATTGTTGCTTTGCCAAAGCGTTCTCTGCAGCCGACCCTTCAAAAATTTGGGACATCAACCTCGATCGTCGCAATTTGCTTGAGACTCAATCGAATGCCCGCTCTGGTCTGGCTCTGGTCTGCCTTTTGCATCACCTGCAAGCTCAGTGCTCAGGCTCCTCTGACTTGTTGCGAATCCCGGGATGGAAGCAACTCTTCCGTGGGATTCTGATTTAAATATATTTGCACAGGACAAGTCATTGAACATGGGAGGCAGCCTGATTGAAAGAAACTAGGATGTCACTTAGGACATTGGAGGTCCCCTTCATTTCAAACGCCAGCTTACTCAAGGGGCATTGGTTTTTGGTTTCTCACCTTGTTTATTATTCTCTAAAAACTGTGATGCCCGGGCCCCTACAGTGGTGGGTCAAAGATAATGAATTGAAATCACCTGACCAACAAAACAACCTGATGGTAGCTGGGCGTTTCTCTTTTCATAATTGCCACGGCTGTCTCACTCAGAAGTTCACGAAATCTCATCCGATCCAGGGAAAAAAACCCGAGACTCACAACGAGAACGTGAGCATCACAGGGACACCTGCACAAATCAATCACATTTCGGCAAGATGTTGCCCAATGTTTTGAACATACACCACAAACTGTTTTTTTTGCGACATTGAGGTTCAAAATGGATCTTCTGAAACACACAATGTACCATACAAATCCAAGTAATTATGTCACATAAACATGACCCCTACACTAGCTGGGACCCTGGTGGGGGCCCCCCTGAATTAAAAAAAACATTGAGGGGGTCTGTATAGATTTCACCAATATTAATTGAAATTAAGAAGACCCTTGATTAATTTTCTATAGGCTTTGCTTGGGGCACCCCCCAAAGAAAGAGCCCCTTGACCACCCCTCAATTAATTTTTGCTGGTTGGCCCTTTCCAAAATAAAATGACCAGTAAAGAGCCCCTTGGCAACCCCTCGATTAATTTGTACTGTTGATTCCGCATGCAGTGGGCACACCAGGCGGGGGTGCGTCCGTCATGGCGTACCCTGAAATCAAGTTTCTTGAAAAATTATACATGAGATTCCTTTTGTAGTCGTTAATTTTCTTTATGATTCTGCAACTCTACGGGAATATATGTGCGATCAATTCTAGTTGATGGCCCCTGATGGCCTAGCTCATCTTGATTGTTAATTGAGGAGTCTGAAGCATCTCTAGACCCTCTTGATTATTTTCCCACGGACCTTGCCCTAGCTTGATCCAAGGCACAGCCGGGGAATGCCGGGGAAAATTCCAATTAATTTTCTGTATCCAACATCTTCTCCGAGCATGAATTTCTACGACATTCTCGGGTGATTTCGAGATTTCTTAATTAATTGAAAACAATTAATTGAGCAGACCCCCCTCCTTGACTAATTTCAGCTAGCGGAGGGTACATACATAAACCATCCATCCGGAAACATGCAACAATCCAACAAAAGCCTGGGGGCCTCGATGTGCAACAAAAGCAACAAATACATTGTTGACACATGCGCAAGCAGGGCCACACTGAAACTTCACAATGGCTTGTTGAGGGTGGACACCAAACAAAATGGAACGCGCGAGCCCGAATGCACGTATGCACTCGAAAAAAAAAGGGTCAAGCATTGAATGACACTCTTGTGGGGCACCCTTGTAGGTGTCTTGTGGGACACTGTTGTGGGACACTCTTGTAGGCGACGGTCTTGTGTGACACTTTTCTGCAACGCCCTTGTAGGCTCCGGTCTTGTGGAGCACTCTCGCGGGGCACTCTTGTAGGACACTCTCGTGGGACACTCTTGTGGTATGCTCTTGTGGGACACTCTTCTGGGACGCTCTTGTGGAACACTCTTGCAGTACATTTTTTGTAGGAATCCTCCTTCGCGGTCTTGTAAGATACTTTTGTGGAAAACTCTTGTGGCACTCTCGAGGGACACTCTTGCTTCCTCCGAAACTCACGCGTCAAGTGTCGAAAACGAGCGTTTCGTACAAGACTTTTCCTCCAAAATTCACGCTTCAAGTCTCCACAGCGACCGTGGAGGAAACTCACGCGCCAAGTCTCCAAAACGAGCGTTTCGTAGGAGACTTCATCCAAAAGTCACGCGTCAAGTCCCAAAACAAGCCTTTTTGTATGAGCCTTCCTCCAAATGCCAAAAGCCACACGTCAATTCTCGAAAACAACCGTTTCGTATCAGACTTCCTTCAAATCCACTACCAGCGCGAACGCAGCCCTGCCAATACAGGCTCGCAATCCCAGCCCCACCCGCTGACACTCCAATCCCACGCCACCCAACCTCGCAACCTCACGATTCCCTGCGCCCGCCACGAAAACTCAGCTTCGACGCCTGGAGTATGCAACAAGTACTGCGCCTGCCTCGGGAAGTGACGACGTGACATCTTCATGTCTTCAACAAATTTTGCACCACACCACACGTTTAGATTGATTTCTGCACTTCCTCACCCAAATCCACCAAAGTCGCAATTTTAGCTGACACTTGTCACGAAAGCACGGCTTCGAAGCAACACCACCGTCACAGCGACATCCAACACCTCCAACATTCCACGCTGTGAACGCCAGTCCCACTGTCTCAGCGAAGGAAACTAAGCAAAAGCAAATCCATGCTCTGGTCTGTTTCTATTTCTTTCTACAAGTTTTGCATGCCATGATCTGTGATGAGCTGTTGCGAGTTGCCCTGATCTGTGATGAGCAGTGCTTTCAATTGGTCCGCTTCCAGTGATCCCTAGTGACTTTTGTGGAGTGCGTCGGCATGGGGGACCGGTACATGTGCTGTCCCGGTTGACAAGGTTGAACTCTGTGTCCCTGTTGACCCAGGTGACCGGGTTGAACCCAGTTGATCCAGTTGACCCGATTGACTTTGTTTGATGGCACGTGTGGTAGTGGTAGTGGTAGTAGTGGTGGTGGTAATAGTAGTCGTCGTAGTAGTCGTAGTCGCGGCGGTGGTGATCTCGCGGTCGGGAACCTGAACCTGAACCTTTACTGGAATTGGGTTTGGGTTCGGGGTCAACTGGGTCAACTGGGTTCTGAGTTTTAGCGTGGCCCCCTATGCAGTCGCAATGTTGTTGTGGTCTTGCATTGCGGATCACGTCCTCGGTGTGCAGTTTCTGTTTGATGTAGCGATGAATGATTTGTGATGAATGACTTTGCAGGGTTGGCGGCCACTTGTGACTCCTCCCTTTACTAGGAAAGCACACAATCAACATATCTCTGATTAGCCTATTCACATCAGAGCCCACCTAGATCGTAAAACAACAACTTCAGCTGTGCTTGCTTCTGATATTACATGATATTACATTATATTACCAGTACAGTATTCAGAATCGCAGCGTACACAATCTATCATCATCGCAACATTCCTGACAGGATGGTTTGACCCACCCACACACACAAACATCACTTTCCTTGGTACAAAGACCTCTTTTTCGACATCTTTCCACCAACATTGAACGCATGCGCTACGATGACAAACATAGCACGATAGGTGATCTTTATGTTGCACTCAGGCCTGTGTTTTCCTTTCTCTCGACATCGCCACTTTCGCTTCTGAGCTTTTTGGGCATCTTGATCTTCTTCACCGGTGAAGGGAAGGGAATGCGCTGTGTTCCCCGAAGCAGGATCGGCTTGCACTCATCAGGCACACTTGGATGCATCACACTGTTGTTTCGATAGTACTGAATGATGCTATCCAAGCCCTGGTGCCTTTCACACAAGCACACCTCTCCGACGTTGGAACAGGGAACACTCCAGTCACGCAAGCCATCAAACCTCTGCCAGAAACGCTCCAAGGACTTCTGCTCCACGAAATTGATAAACGCGTAGCAAAGTGAATTCTTCTCCCTGAAGCACAACGGCACATAGAGGAAATTGAAGGTTCCCGAGAATCCTGCACAGCATATAATGTCGAGATCAACAACGATGGTTCTTCATGCTTTCGAGGCTTTTCGATTTGCATGCTACAGTGAGTTGAACAAAATGAGACTTCACTTGTCCAGGATTTTATGCAGCATGCGTTTCCTCCTTGTTTTTAACATTTTTAAGTAGCTGGGGCCTGGGTATCCGACAAAACCTGGGACATGAAGAAGCAACAAGTTTCCACACTAATCAAAGCGCCGAGAAGATCGAGAAGTTTCCTTCTTTGCAAAGAAGGTAAAGCAACCTTGCCCGTGTGAAGCACTCTGGCAAATTTTTCAACATGACCTCGGTAGTATGAAGGTTGTGAACGAGATGCCATCTACCCAAGCTGTGATCCCATATTGAGCAAAACCACTCTGGAATGCAAATGCGATCCGTTATCCCCCCGTCTGCCAACTGGTTGCAACCGCAAACACCATTGACTTTAGCAAAGGGAAGCCCGTTCTTGCTCAGGAACAAACCAACAAACCCAGATTGATTCCAAAAGTGCAACATAGAGCCAAGGGTGCATATTTGCATGTTTCTTGCACTCTTGTGAGGGGCGCCTTAAATAGGTTCGTAACATGGCGACAAAACAGCTCGGGCAGTGGCTTAAGAACAAGATAGAACAAGTTTCGATTGGTTGGCATGGCTCAGCATCGGCTGAACGAGACACGAGAAACATCTGCACTTGCAACCAGCGTTGAGTGTTGAGGAAACTTGGCCAACATGGGCCAATAATGATGAATAGAATCGGATAAAACATTGGCTCCAACTCAAAAAGTTGATCGAACATCATCCTGGTGCCGGTCGTCGCTGTGAAGTGAGTATGTTTCCCTCTGCGTCACAAAACCGTGCGCTTCACGCTTTGGTTTGTCAGCTGGCGAATTCCGAAACTCATCCTGCAAGCCTGCATTCTAAACGATTGTCACCAGAATTTGATATTCATTCCAAGTAACCGTCGTCCGCGCCATCTTAAATACATGCTGATCCGGTCTCCTGGCAAACACTTCATCGCCCACAAGCCAAACTGCAGATGATGCAGGGGTAAGCCAAACAGAGCCAAAGGCTTCGCTCACCTAAGGACCTGTTAGGAGCTGTTGGATCTCTTGGATCGGGGATCTTTCATAGTGGTTGGATAGTGCGCTAAAGGCTTTACGAAAGACTCCATTGACTTCATTTAATAAAATCATATAAAATCCTTTTGAGCTGAGGTCATCTCTTTAGTTTTTCGTGTGCAAACGTTGGCGCTCAAAAATAATCACAGGGATTTGAATGGATTTGAGCATTTACGATCTTTCAAGGCGGCAGCATTGAAGATACAGTGTTCATCATGCAAACATCCCAGCCGAAGTGCTCCTGTGTGAAACGTACGGTGACCAAACTCCGTCGGAATTGCTGTACCAAGCACCATCGTCCAAGAGATAGTCATCGGCATCCCTCTCAACCGATGATGCTGTAGTGCCTAAGGTGGAATTGAAAGGGATCATCCCTTCAATACTGCAGGCTGCAAAAATCAAACGATTTAGCAAAGGTTCAGTCTTCAAGAATGAGGAGTCTTGAGTCTTGAATACAAGAAATGAACAACCTTGTCAAGAGAACGGAATACAGTGCATCTCAGTGGCTCTCCCCCGAACCCCTTCTGATACTGATGATAACTCTGCTCCCCCCCATGGCTACCGAGTATTGGCAAGGGAAAGAACTGTTGGAGAACACGGCACACAAGCACAGAAAAGCAGTTTCATTGAACGGAATTCTTCCGGTTTTTGTCATTCGTCGTTTACTTGCATCCTTCTGACTTCTGTATCAAGCACTTCGAATACAAGGTCAACTCTGCTCAGGGCTCGCGGGAATGACCGTCGATGCTTTATCGATCTTGAGCCACACATGCAAAACCAAGGGATGCAACATGCAGAGATAAAGTACTGAAGGAACACAACTTGATGCTGAGATCAAACTTGCGCAGCTTGTTCTGAAACCAAAGAACAACCATTAAATCATCAGAACGGGTGTCCCTGAGAGTGCGGTTTTCCAATGATGACGGAAAGCGATGAATATCGCTTTGAGTTGCTCCCCGGAGGTTCTGCTGGGGGGTTTGATTTGCAGACTTTTGGGGTGTCTTGAGGCAGGATCGAAGGTGCAAAAAACACTGTAATTTACAGTAAAAAGTGGCTTTGGGTGGGTTTGTGTTGAGCTTATTTGCCCTCAAAAAGTTGCATTTTACCTGCACGGGAGGCAATTTTTGATGTTTTTATTGTTTTCTGGCATTCAAAGGTTTTGAAGGGCAATGTGCATAAAACACTGTAAAAAACAGTGAAAAATAAGACTTTTTGGGATCATTAATGCACTGTTTTTTGACAAACTTGGCCCCAACATTCCACAAGGGCATCGAATACAAAAATGACAGAGAAAATGCTAAAAAAGTCGGCGGCGTTCCACAGCACCACTTGCATCACTACGAGGCGCATGGGAGGCACAAAGATTACAGAAGAGACGGAAACAAAGCAAATCAACTTAAGATCAGAACTTTTTTGTCACCAAGGCCCACAAGAAGACAGAAAGAGCACAGACGAGACAAAAACAAAGCAAATCAACTTAAAGCAAATCAACTTAAGATGAGAGTTTTTTGACACCAAGGCCCACAAGAAGATAGAAGGAGCACAGAAACAAAGCAAATCAACTTAAGATGAGAGATTTTTTGACACCAAGGCCCACAAGAAGACAGAAAGAGCACAGAAGAGACAGAAACAAAGCAAATCAACTTAAGGTGAGAGTCTTCTTGACACCAAGGCCCACAAGGAGACAGACAGAGCAAAGAAGAGACAGAAACAAAGCAAATCAACTTAAGATGAGAGTTTTTTGACACCAAGGCCCACAAGAAGACAGAAGGAGCACAGAAGAGACAGACACAAAGCAAATCAACTTAAGATGAGAGTTTTTTGACACCAAGGCCCACAAGAAGACAGAA